TCCGTAGGGTTCAGTATTGAGTTGGCCCACCCTTTGCAGCTATAAAAGCTTCAACTCTTCTGGGGAGGCGTCCACAAGGTTTAGGAGTGTGTCTATGGGAATGTATGACCATCTGTGAGGTCAGGTACTGATGTTGGATGAGAAGGCCTGGCTGGCAGTCTCCACTCTAATTCATCCCAAAGGTGTTCTATCGGGTTCAGGTCAGGACTCTGTGCAGTCCAGTCAAGTTCCTCCACTCCAAAATGGGGATGGCCCCTTCCTGTTCCAACATGACTGCGCACCAGTGCACAAAGCAAGGTCCATAAAGACATGGATGGTCTTGTCAGATTTTCAAATATTTAATGAAATACTTAATTTTGGTAGTTTGAAGCTACATAATTTAAATCATTTAAGCATTTATATAGGTTATTGCTTCTAACAATAAGTAAAAATCACTGTTCTTTAAAGTTAATATTCTGCTATTGTTTTCAGCATGCACACAATCAGAGTCTTACTAGGTTTCTACAGAAATGCATAAATGTGTTTTACAGCTACAAAAATATGTGTTCATGGAATAAACTATGTAGTCTATTAAGTAAAATGATTATTAAAAAACATACCTATCAACTAAAAGAAGTGGGTCAGTTTATGTGGAACTGAGAGGTTACACTGCAGTGCCATTTCATCCCATAATAAAAATGTTGTGAACGTGGAACCATTAGCAAGCCTTTTGGTAGCTGCTGCAGCATGAGAGTACCAAACTTAAGGTTAATTATAGCAGATGCAAAAAGCAATAGAGCAAAATAGCTCACATGGACCTACATGGCAGTGCACCTCAGCATAAAATAACGCACTGTAATGCACTACAATGCATCAAAGTGCATCGAGATAGGAAGAAAAGGATCAGGTCCACTTTGCAGTGCACTGGGGTACATTGGCAGCCCACTCAAAATGAACAGAGTGCCTTAACGCATTGCACAGGAACATAATGGTAAATTTTAATTGTACAATTCCAGTTAGGTTTACCAACTAGTATATCATGCAAGAGCCTACCTAAAGGGGTAAATGCTCACAGTACAAAGCTGTTCCCAGAACTAACAGAGCTTGTACAAATCCAACTGCAACATACGTTATGATATTTACAGCTATCTCCACCACCTTCATACAAACTTGAACACAAGCATATTTTAGGATTGTAGATGTAATTCAGATTAAAAGTAGTTCTTTTGGTGGAAATGAAACCTGGTACCTAAGTGCTACAAGCCAAGAGTACAAACCACCTAGCCACAGTGCTGTCCAACCACTCAAGAACATCTGCCTGCCTAAACTTACGCGCTAAAGTATGATCGTTCGTTAATCAGATGCCAAGAACCACCACTGCCCTTACAAAATGTTAACTAAATGAGTCCAGTAGTATTACGGCACTCTTTAAACCCGTAAGCAATGTTAATCTACTGACTGGTAACCTCATATGGCTAAAACAGAGACTGTGGCCCTGTAAACCATGGTCTCAGTAGAAGTCAGTTTATACGACTGAGTGGAAACATATTTGCCTGTTGTCACCTATCATTTAAATGGTATTCTATGTGCTACAATAAAATTGTAGGTCACTGGGACAAGTGAAAACACTCTAGCAAATTAAAGGATTACTTCTCGCAGAAATAGCACCACATGTCCACCATTAACAAACTGAAACCTCTTAAAATTTAAAAAAGAAGTCCTTGGAAGAGCTTATTTTGTGCCATGAAAAACAGGGTACATGCGGAGTCATAAACTGATTAATGTTAATACCAGTTATGTTATCCAAACTACATTCTTGAGGGAAAATGATTACAAAATTTACTTTTTGATGCACCGAACAGATACAAGCCATGCACATTGCAGAGGCTATAGCACACAGCCTCCGGTATAGTAACACACATCATAGGTACAAGTGCACAGCCCTCAGAGCTGCTGTCAAACAGCAGTGGGGGTGTTTGACAAGTGTCCAGCTTTTACTGTGGAGACACAGGCTGAATGTGCTGGTGCATAGTGCAGTCTGCCTGCAAATCTTGGGAGAGCACAGCACAGGGAGCAGTGTTGTCACCCTATGACAGGGAGTACCCTTGCTGTTAGGATCCTAAGGTACAATTGGAAAGACTATGCAAGTTAAGACAAAATTAAATAAATGAGCTTTATGTGAATAAAGTCAGAGGTTAAATTGTGACTGTACAATGAAATGCTGGAAGGTTATATTTTTACTTTCACAAAAGGGTGAAAAGTTTGAAGAGGGCAGGAGAAGTGAACAGTCTAGGACAACATCACTGAACTGGAAAGTGAGTTGAATTGGAGAATTTTGCCAAATCAGATATGTTGTCCTAGATTGTTCACTTCTCCTGCCTTCTCCAAACTCTTCACCCTTGTGTGAATAACCCTGTAAATGTTTTGAAATGGTTCAGTCATATTTAAACTTCTGATAGGACTATAAGAGATGATTTCATTGTTTTTATTATCTTTACTCTCTAAAGTTGTATATTATGGGATACTTAGTAACGTTACTGTTTTTATAAATCAGTGAAACCTTTCCAATTCATTTTTACAGCATGCATGTATGGGCACTCACAATGCTTTTGGTAAGCCTATACTCTGCTCCATCATGAAATGGGGTTCATTCACATAACACAGGTTATGTAAATGTATTATTTATTTCCCATCTGTATTCTTTCTGCATAGCAGCCAAAAGGACTCAATGAACGTCATTGTAGTGGCAACTTAACACTACACAAAACTCAATGCAAGTCCTGGGATGGACCCTTCCTTACATATGACCCAAACTAGTTCTTTTGCATAGCTTTTTTGATTTAACCACACACTCAGGAATCTGTCATAAACCAAACACGTACACCATGTGACTTTTGCATACCTTTTTTTAATGTGACCGCACACTCTGGAATCTGTCGCAAACCAAACATGTACACTGTGTGTGTACCCAAAAAAAAAAAGGGATCAGTCTTTTCAACTTTGTGGATCTCTTGCAGGTACCAGTCTCTCAATGCAACTGTTCACACACATTTACAGAAATCAAACAATATTTTCCCTGATATGGCCACTTTTATAACCTGCTCGATCTAAGGCCCATTGTCTATTTATTGGAAATTCCATTATTGTACTTTATTGTGGATGGCAACCTTTCTATTGAAGAGCACAATAAGTTCAAGCTGCCTGGGTCAAAACTAAGATTACCATCATATCTTCTATTAAGAATACAAACGTTTCTACTTGAACGAAATCCAATGAGATGTATAAATATACACACACTGATATACTCATTGTGTGTGTGTGTTAGATTATATATCTATATATAGATCTATATCTATATATAGATCTATATCCATATATATATACACACACACACACACACACACACACACACACACACACACTGAATTTCAAATAAACAGTGTTATAGTACCACTGATCCTCCTTAAGAGACAGAGTTCCAAAGAAACTTTAGTGAACACATACAGTGTGCAGGTACCACTATCCTCAAAACTGAACACATACATTAACCATTTTTGAATGATTTTTATTTTTTGAAATTGAAAAGATGAGGTGTATGTTTGCAGGACTGACTGATAGTAAAGGGAGTGAAATAAGAATGTCACAAACTCCTAACTGCTGATTACTTATTTTCTGTTTAGTATTAAAGTATCACAATAATGAATAAAGTGTCTTTAATAAAAAAAGAACAATGCACAACTATCAAACCTTACTAGAAAAGGAATCCGTACTTGGCACATGCAAGCTACTGTCCAGCTTAAAGGGACACTAAACTCAGGAGGCAAATCTTTCAAGTTCTTTAACATAAATGTATCTTATTTGTGTATCACTCAGCATAGATTCTCAAATCATCTCTGAATTGGTTCTGACACTGTCCTTCCCTCTGGACGGTGGATACTTTTGTTCCCCATGGTCCCTGTGTGTGTTGTAAAGTAGTCACCACTCCAAGACTGCTCCTGTGATGGACTACAATCACAATACAAATTAATAAACTAAACGTGACAGAGTCCATCACAGGAGCAAGCTTGGAGTGGTGACTACTTTACCACACACACAGGGACCATGATGAACAAAAGTAGCCACTCTACAGAAGGAAGGACAGCGTCAGCACCAATCCAGAGAAGATTTGAGGATCTACCGCCGAGTGATGCAAAAATAAGATACTTTTTTCTTAATAGTTCAGATACTTGAATGTATTTTTAAGATTTAACTCCTGAGTTTAGTGTCACTTTAAGACAAATAAATACTAAGCAGTAAGTGCAATTTGACTAAAATAAAAAAAAAACATGCAACAGTTATTAAGTGAAATCTATACCACCACAGAGATGTCAAAAACACCTAAAAGTGACAGATTTCTTACAACAGCCTACAATGTAACACTAAAATAGTAACAAACTATCACAGGGATGTTTTTAAAACATGCCATCAAGCACTACATAGAATGCTGATCATTTATATTTTGCATGAACAGAGAGGGCAATCAAACCAAAACAAAGCAGCAAAGAAAGCAAAACACCAGGCAACTCTCCTAGCAGTGTCCCCTTGTAACAATATCCCTGTTTGATTTGCATTTTCTAGCTTGTCACTTTGTGGAAGTGTGCATGCAAAACCAGATGAAAGAAAAAAAGAAAAAAAAAAACACACAAAATCGAGGTGGAGATATTGGCACACAGCTTCTAGCAAACAAGGTGTAAGACCATGAAGAAGAAAAAAAAGAAAGGTCGTTTTTGGAATAAAATTACAGGGAAACGTCAGAAGAACAAAGTTTTAATGACAGACAGCCCAGATCTCTAGTCTCCTAGCAACAGACAACACTTTCCACACGTGACTCTCAGGGTACAACAGAGACTGAAGCATGCACACACACATACATACATACATACAGCCTTCAGTGGGTTATTAATGAACAGGGAGCTGATCGGTACTGATCACCCCCAGGCCTGCCTTTTCCCCCCACCTGCACCAGATCAATCATCACCCACCTTTCGTGTCCAGCTCCACATGGATGATGTTGCCCATGACAGAAGTGTTGTGCAAATGCTTGACTGCATCCCTGGCGCCTGTCACGGTGGCAAAGATGACTTTGGCAATACCCAGATGTTTCTTGTTCTTGGGGTTGTACAGGATCTCCACCTCCTCCACCTCCCCGTATTTTTTGCACATGTCGCCCAGAAAGTTTTCCCGAATGTTGTCATTGAGTTTAGCAAAAGTCACTTGCTTGGGGGGTACTGGCCCGACATAAAACTCGTCGATCTGAGAAGAGATAGAAATAAAAAGAGGCTTTAGACACAAATCAATGCGGAGCATCCCATGGCGCTGCAGCAACAAGAAAGCTGTCAAAACTTCGCCGACTTGCTGAGCTCCTGCCGGCTAGAAGAGGATACAATGTAACGATCTGCCTAGGAGGACACAATGTCAATAGCATGTAGCCACTGCAAAACTTCATACTCATGATATCATTCGCTGTCGGTTTCATTTAGCGATACATCGGTACAGATCGTTAAAATAAAAACGGGAGGAGATCAGCAGCGGATCGTCCTCGCCCGGTGCCAGCGCTGGGATGGCAGCAGCTGTTAAATACCTTGAGCTTGGGCACAGGTAGATCCAGCTCTTTATTTTTGGTCCATATCCTTCCGATCCGGGGATCCCGGACTGTATCCACGGGGGGGACGCCCGAGTTCTGCAAATAAACACACAAGGCTGGCATTAATGGTTAACAGTGGATGGCATGGCACGCTTGTCAACATGCAGACATGGACCTTCCACTAGTACAGGGGATGATGTCCCCATCCAGGAAACAAGAGGCAGCACTGTGCACGGGACCTAGAGGAGGCATGCATCTTGACAGCTTGGAGCCCATGCGGGCACAAGGGGGGCACCTACGGGCATGCTGAAGTTGAGTCCATCATAGCGGTAGAGTTTGTGCTGGCCCTTCTTCAGAGCAGGGTCAATAATCAACTTGTAACTCCTCCAATGGTGACCTCTCTTCTCGCCAGAAGTGCCGGCTTGGTTGCCCGCCTCCATGCCGTTGATCCAGCCTGCAAGACATAAACAAGGGATGAATAGTGGGATCTAGAGGTGGAGAGGGGTGCTGATCAGACAGTGCTGGGGGGTGTACACACACACTGAGCCCCAGGCAGCTGATGGTCCCCCAAAGCTGCTTGCTGGACTATGGGGGAGAGCACACATTGCACACACACACATACACACATTGCACACACGCACGGTTCCAGCTCACTTGTGCTTTGCTTTCTGCCATGGTCTTCTGGGTTCTTGCTTTTCTCCCCGGGCTTGGCCTCCTTGAAAGACATGCCTGCCCGCCTTTCCCACACCCCCCCAACCCCTGCTCCCCTGCGCCCAGGGTCGTCTTCTTGCCCCGCAGGAAAGGCCGAGCCCGCTTCACAGAAGCCTGCCCAGGTTACATGACATGCTGTGGAGGGCACCCTGCCTGCTCCTTTTTGGCGAGCCAACACATATTGTGTGTGAGTGAGCTGCTTCTGCTCGCTCTGGGGCAGCCCACAATGCACCGCGGCCTCCACTGTCCTCCGCCTCCCTCCTCTGTCCCCAGCCAGTCAGTAGTCCCGGGAATCAGCCTTCCTCTTCACACTCGCACTTTCGCCTCGACACATTCCGTCTGCCAGGCGCAGAAAAAGAACCATCCTAAAAAAAATCAGGATCGTTGGCTTATCTTATTTTCTTACGTACATGGATTTATTGTTTTTTTATTACTAGGTATTGTTTATATGTATTGGTGTGACAATGCCCGTCCAGATCTAACGTGTTTTCCTTCAGGTTTCCTATGCCCGAATCGTTTTCTAGGTTGTTCGGGCGACGGGCATGCTAATTTGAATGAACTGTGTGCTTTAAATTGAAGAGTACTGCAGGGAATCCCCTTGTTGTGGAAGGAAAGCTGTGTGTGGAATCTGCTCGATAGATTTACATGGCGGCTCTAAACAGTCGCCAGACAAGATGGAAGTGACCGGGGTTGTAGCTGTTGGGTGGGAGGGAAGTCGCCATCCGTGTTTATGTCACAGCTGATGGAGAGAGGGTCCTGAAGGGACGAACCTGCACAGAATACCCTAGGCTTTTCAGTATTTTTCAACCAAGTTCCACTGTGGTGAATCTGCTAATCGCAGTCTGGCTTCCATTTTGTGTTACATTGGGGAGAAGAGGGGAGGGAGGCATTCTGATACTGCCCGCACCTGACAGCACAGACACTGGAACATGACAGCGGACCCAACAGGACCCTGAATGGGGGGATGGGTAGACCATGGGTCCCACCAGAAGCTACAAGTATCCTTCCTAGACGCATGCTACTCCTTGTGATTCTTGGAATGAAGATCCTGTATTCTTAGCCCCATGCTGGTCCGTGTAGTTTTTGGGGTGAAGACCCTGTATTAGAAGACTCATGCTGGTCCTTGTAATCCTTGGGATGAAGATCCTGTATTCCAAGCCTCATGTTGGTTCTTGGTGGGAAGACCCTGTATTGCAAGCCTCTTGGTGGGAAGACACTGTATTGCAAGCCCCATGCTGGTCCCTGGGGGGAGGACCTTGTATTGCAAGCCTCATGCTGGTCCTTGGGGGGAGGACCCTGTATAGCAAACATCATGCTGGTCCCTGGGGGGAGGACCCTGTATTCCAAGTCTCATGTTGGTCCTTGGGGGAGGACCTTGTATTGCAAGCCTCATGCTGGTCCTTGGGGGGAGGACCCTGTATATCATACTAGTCCTTGCAGTTATTGGAGAGAAGACCCTCTATTCCACACCTCATGCTGGTCCCTGTAGTCCTAGGGGAGAAGACGCTAGTCTTCGGTTTATGCTGGTACTTGAGGGTGAGGTCCCTGTACTGCTAGCTTTATGCTGGTCCTTGTAGTCCTAGGGCAGAAGTCCCTGTATACCTAACCTCATGCTGGTAGTTGTAGTCCTAGACGAGAAGTCCCTGTATTCCTAACCTCATTTTGGTCCTTTTAGTCTTAGAAGATCAGTCCCTGTATTCCTAGCATCATACTGGTACTTGTAGTCCAAGATATGTTCTTGCATTCCTAGCCTCATGCTGGTCTTTCTACTTCTAGGGGAGAAGACCCTGTGTTTCTTGCCTCAGGCTGGTCCTTGTAGTCCTAGGGGGGATCTCCCCACACACTTCCTAGCCTCATGTTAGTTGTAGGGATTCCCCTTCCTAGCCTCATGTTAGTTGTAGGGATAAACCCCCTATACCCCTTCCTAGACTCATGTTAGTTGTAGGGATAAACCCCCTATACCTCTTCCTAGACTTCCTTCCTAGAAATTTTTGACTGGACTATGTTCCTCAGTATCTGTGGGCAGTCTATTTCTGGCAGCATGCTGGGCGTTCTAGTGCCACGGTTTTTTGTATCAACTAAAGACTGCACGAGGGCCGTAATACATGCACAGGACACGATCTGATTGGCCGTTAGGGTATTCTGCGACTTTTAGTTCCACACGAGCTCTCGTCAGACACAGGAAACCGGACTAGTATACCTAGCACAGTTTAGGCACGTTTCCAAAGCCACGTGAGTGCTGCCTAGCAGGCCGCCAGCCCGTGCTCAGTTATTTGATGTGTTTTCTATTAATGAACAGAGAGGGTGGCCAGTCACACAGCCCCGGGCTCCATCTGCAGGCCGGGTGGAAGAGCACGGGGTGTCCCCGCTCCGGTCCGGGAAATGGTGACGTCACCGGCAGGCAGAGAGACTCTCCCGAGAGCGCGACCAATCAGCGCGCAGCTTGCATCCGCCTGTGACTTATTACAGCAGTCTGCAAAACATCCTTCATCAGACAGCCAAGGAGAGGCCAACAGAGCAGGCAGCCATTATCCTGCCATGGATTGAAATGGCCAGCTCTCTGTACACACTGACTGGGTGTTTCTCCTTTGTTACAAACAAGGGAAGCTTTTTAACTGAAGCAGCTTCCAGGACTCCACTGTGTTGTGTTCTTTATGTTTGCCATTTGAAAGGATTTCTTTATTTTTTAATCTTTTTTGTTGTTTTTTTTTTCTTTTTTTTTGAAGAAGGAAGATAAAAAATATAAATAGCACAGCATGTCTGGATTTTCTCCTCATGAACTGGAATCCATCTTGGTTGCTCCTAGGTCATGGCACACCCTAAGTCTTAAGTAAATCCCTTTATTTTTGATTTGGATTGTGGCACCTCAAAACTCTTACTGGTGGTTCCTGTTGAACAATAAATTTAGATATTCTTTTCTTTTGCTATATTTTGTCATTGTGAACATTAAATAATATATAGTTGCAAACCTAAAAGGTAATGTACGTTCCTATTATTACAAGTAAAACTTTTTTTTGCAGCTTGTTCAAATATGTTTTTATTTTTTAAGTTTAGGTGTTCAAGTCAAGTCTGTATAAACAAAGTAGTACATTCTATTTGTTTGTTGCAGAGATGGGGAAAATAAAGTGGTTTTCTATATCCGCATTGATTTACTAGTATATTCAATATGAACTATTTTTAATATTTGTCTTATGTAACCTACATATTAGATGTAGTAGTTTAGTTTTTCCTTTTTTTTTCTCACAACTATGAAACCTGTAAATGGCACCAGATATAAAGTGAAATGGAAATGGGAATATTTGTCAGATTAAATCCACAAATTTGCAGATATTTTTGTAACCGTCAAGATAAGTTAATGTTTTGGTCCTTTTAGTAAGAAAGAACAGACTATGGAGCAATAGAAATTCAAAATGCATATTCTCTGACCTTCAGGGCCAACATTACATATTACTGCATTTATATGCATCTGTGTGTATGTATTGTGAATATATATATATATATATATATATATTGTATATTTTGCTCTCACATTTTGTTTTACCTAGGTATACAGTTGTCACTTTGTCATACCACTACCTAACCAAGCTTACCCATTTGTAGAAAGCTAAGGAGCTCTCCCACACCTCACTGGCTCAAAATGTGCAAGTCGGGCTTTAAATTCTAGAGCTATAACGTGTTTATCAATATATAGATAGCATATTGATAAGGATTAACACTTGGCCATGATGTGTGTAGTAAGTGTTTTGATTACAGGCTATTTATTTGCTGTTTTCTATTGTTAGATCCCACCCAGTCCTCTCTAGTTCATGTAAGATGGTAGACCTTGCAAGTAGGTGGAGGGCGGACGCCATGCTCTGCGAGACGTCGTCATCATCTGTACTCTTTGACCAGCCACATTCTTAACAATGTGTTGTTGATTTTGTGATGTTGTGCAGTTCTCCTAGGTTATTATTCTCTCTAGCATAAGCAGGCAGTGCTTAGCCTAATGTTTAGTTAGGCCCTGTCTGTTATGTGAAAGCTGAGTCAGAGCTAGGCCCTGCTTCTCACAAAGGCAGAGGACGTAGCTGGGGAAAGAGGGAGCATTTGTTGGAGTGCTGTCAGCTGTTTAACCCCTACCAATTTTGGCAATGCAGACACATTTGTTATATGTGACATGTGCATTGTGTCTGTAGAGAGGAGTAAAATATATATTGTATGAGAGACCGTGACTATATCTAGTTTGTACGTACAAGAGCATTTATAGAAACTTGGGCTTAAAAAATATGCTGTGGATTGTTTAGCATAAATATGGAACTTAGAAATGGACAGGAGATTTGAGATGAGATATTAAGGAATTTATTAGTAGGAATTGTCAGAGTAACCGCTTTTTTGCTTTAAGTATTACTGAAAATGGGGCAGGCTAGATATGAGATTATTAGAAGTGATCTGCTGCTGGACAGCTGCATTGGGGTCTGGATGTGGTCTACACTGACCAGATCAAAACAAACAAAAAAAGAATAATTTAAACAAAAAAATATAATAATTATTCCCTCCCACAATGAATCCCCAGGTCGCAACAATGATCTGGTCTGGATGACATCTGCACAAGCATCAAATGCGTACTTCATTAAACATTTTAGCAGACCTGTTTGTCATCATCACCACCCATGTTTGCTGTTACCATCGTGCTAATTTGTGCCCTCCTCAACTTGACTTATTCCTTTTTAATGCTGCACTAACATTATGCTACACAGGATATTGGAGATGTTCTATTAAGGCATGCATTAATAGCAATGGTCACAGTAATAGCCTTTTTTTAAATTAAATTTACTGCTGGATAATTGCTGAAAAAGGCAGGTTAGACATGAGATGATTTGGGATGTAACACGGAGTAAGCAAAGAGTTATTTAATGGTATTGGGTTTAGCACCAACAAACGGCTTATCCACAGCATGTTTCCCTGGCTGCTGTCTGTGAAGCCAGCACAGTGCGTGGAAGTACACAAAGCCATTTTTAGCATGTTCTGTAGAAGAGAGGATT